AACGTTTCAAGATCTTTGAATCATGACTGCATTATTTACAGTAACACCTAATAGTAAATTTTAAAATTACGGAATAGATCCGCGTGCTGTACACGCTTGAATTTCGAACGTTAGTCGTTTGTTGTTCTTTGAGCAGTGCAGTTGAATACTTATGTGCATTTTACACGTGTTTGTGCTAATCGTAATTTAATAAACTGTAAGATATTTTTTTGTAATAATCGGATTGTGAATCAAAGGATGAAGAGGATTAAAAAAATTCTTGATATGGCTTTGGATTTAGACGACTGGGGATTAAATCCAAAAACATCAGGTATACCATTTTGCATTTTTTTTTTGTTTTTGTTTATTAGATTACAAGCTTGTTTATTTGCAAATATATCAAATCCATCTGGATCGTCTGTTTCTCAAAAGGAAAATTTACGTCCAGGCAACTGTGATGTAGACGGTAAGCAGTGTTAGCTAGCTATTTTGGTATTACTATACAATGCATATGACGTGTTTGTTTTTTTTTAGTAGGACCTTCATCAGCACTACTTCTACAATGCAAAAATCGTGAATCTTCTCTTCAGTTAGAACCATTAAAAAATGTGTTTGAAGACAATTTTATTTTTGATAGCGATGACAGTATTTTAGATCCCGACTTTTTGTCCGATCCCGATGATTTCGAAATGGTAAGTTTATATGGTAAGTTTATATGAATTGTAGATTTTGCTGAAATTTTACTGTTACCTATGTTGTCAAAAATACAACTTTTTGAGTGTTTCAAAAAAATTATGATAGTATAAAAAAATACGGTTTTTCTTTTATAATAAAAAATCGGGATCCGGTTTATTTTGTTGTATTTATTAATAACAAATTCCTAAAATAATAAAATTATTATTAGCTTTATTATTAATAAGGCTTGTCATCAAAATTACCTATTATAGGACAGATTGTTCAAATATTTCTTGTTTATTCTAGGAAATAGATTACTGCATCTTCACCAAATTCACCTTTACTCTGTGATCCACTAAAACCCATTCCACTACCTTGGAACGAAAAATCTGCAGTATTCCTAAATAATATGAGTACAAAGCAAACTGGGCGACCCAAAAAAGGTAGGAAGTTAAAATTTGGAGAATTCAATAGAAGTGAAAGGAAACAAAGGAAATATACAAATCAGTCCTATGTCAACACAAAAGGAAAACAAATATCCCCAAAAGTGTTTAGCGACTATGATTGTCAGTGTCAACAGAAATGCAATGAACAAGTTTCACAGAATTTAAGAGAAATTGCATTTAATTCGTTTTACGAGCTAGGCAGTTACAATGCCCAAACGATGTTTATACTTGCTAACGTTAAGCAGGTGCCAAAAAAGAGATCGTATAGAGTAGTAACGACTGGCTCTTCGAATACCACTTCCAATAAACAGAAACAGTTCTCAAGAATTTATAGCTTATCGGAAAAGTATGCCGAGAAATGTTTATAAAAACATTAGGCATTAGTCCCCAAAGGGTAACTGTATGTTTAAAGAAAGCTAGGTCTCATTCACTGGTAGACCTTAGAGGAAAAAACCAAGGAGGTTGGAATACATTGCTACTAGAAGATAAACAAATCATAATGGACCATATAAACAGTATTCCACGATATCAGTCAGAATATAGAAGAGCAAGTTGTTCTGATGCTATGTTCCTCCAGAATAATATGACTATAAAAAAACTATATGAACTGTACAACGAATTACTGACGCAAAAATTTCCTAACAGAAAAGCTGTTTCTTTTGCAACCTATAAAAATATCTACCTAAAAAACTTTAATTTAAAGACAAAGCCATTGCACAAATACACATGCCTAAAATGTGATACAATTCAAATTAAATTAATGAACGCTATGACAGAAGATAAAAAAAAATGCATTACTGACCAACAAAATAATCATATGAAACTTTGGAAAGACTTACGGCAACGAATGAAGCAGGATATAGCACACAGTAAGTTATTACCTGAACAAGAATGTATAAGTTTTGATATGCAGCAAACTCTACCCCTACCTAGAATACCCACAAATATTGTTTTCTATAAGAGACAACTGTGGGTTTATAATACTGGTATTCACTCTGGATCAGATGATAAGAGTTACTGCTATGTTTGGGTTGAAGGAGAAGCAGGTAAAGGTGCCCAAGAAACAGGTAGCTGTTTGATGTATCATCTAAAAAAATTTCTAAAATCTGGCGTAAAGAATCTAATACTTTGGAGTGATTCCTGTGGCGGACAGAACATTAATATAAAGATAGTTCTATTACTTAAAGTACTTTTGGCAAATCACGCCACACTACAAACAATATCTCATAGATTTTTGGAGCCAGGCCACACTTACCTACCAAATGATACAGATTTTGGGAAAATAGAGACTGCTTTAAAAAGTCAACAGAGAATATACACACCAGATGAATATATAGATGTTATGAGGTCATGTAAGAAAAAAAAATCCTTTAACCGTGACCCGAATGAAGACAGTGGATTTCTATAGTACAGCAAAGTTAGAAAAACTCATTGTTAATAGGAAAAAAGGGACAGCAGGAGAAAAAATCAACTGGTTAAGAACTAAAGAAATATTGCTGAAGAAGGAAAACCCATATTCCATATACATGAGAAGTACATTTGACGAGGACTTCATTGAAGTAGACATGAAAAGGAAACCACTTCGTGGCAAACCTACTGTAGAAGCTTTTGAAGATAATCTCTTGCCTCTGTGGCCAAATGGCAAGGAGATTACAGCTGCTAAACTTGCTGATCTACAGGCTATGTTAGATCTTATTCCAAAAGATTGCCATTACATATATACAAACTTAGTGGGAAACGCATCACTCGAAGATGATATTGATGGTTATGCAGGAGAGCCAGATTATGAAATGGAAGATGATGAAAGTTAAAAACAACTTATTAGTTTTATTCTGTAGAATAAATACTTTTAGTTATTCACTTGTTATTTTTTTTGGAATAAATAAATAAAGAAATATTGTATTTTTTTTGTCAAAATGTGGTGTTTAATAGGTATATTTTATTTCGCGTAAAATTTTATTTGATCATGGATCATTTCTGCAAAAGTCAAATTTCCATTTTTGACTTTATTTTTTAATTTTGCAATAGTGATCCAGTTAATTTATATTTTTTTTTCTCTTAAATAATGGACCTTTTAAATATGCTATAGTGACAAAAAAAGCGTGGATTACATCTTTGGTGTAATTGCATCAACACAATACTCGCTATATATTCTATTTTCATCGCCTAGAGAATTTAACTTTAACATCATTTTTCTCAAAATATGGTTTGGGTGGATTGGATCATTTCTGCATAACTACGTCCAATTATAAAAATTTATATTTTTTGACTGCAAGTATGAAGATAGAATTTTAATCTTTGCAAATGAGGCCGAACCATTACTAAGGCAAGGAAAAGTTTTTTTTCGGTGATGGGACATTTAAAAGCTGTCCCACAGTATTCCAACAACTTTATGTTATTCACATGGACATGGGAAGTACTGAGGAAAGAACTTGTGTTGTCCCGATTATATATGCCTTGTTACCGGATAAGAGCGAAAAGACATATACAAGACTTTTTACAATTTTAAAAGAAAAAGTGCCTGCTTTCAAACCAGTAGAGTTCCATCTGGACTTTGAAAAAGCTGCCATTAACGGAATTATAAAAATATTTCCTGAAGTGAAAATAAAAGGTTGTAATTTTCACTTCAACCAAGCACTCTGGAGGAAAATTCAAGAGAGTATAGAGAAAGAGAAGACGTAAGGCAGCATTTGAGAGTGTGTGCTGCTCTGGCGCATTTACCTCCCCACCAAATTGATGAAGGTTGGTTGACAATTATGGAAAACTCTCTAAATATGGAAAAGATAATTAAATTTAACGATTACTTTGTTAAAGAGTGGTTAAACTCTCAAAGATATTGGGTGTGTTTCCGCAGTCGCCATCGAACCAGAAACGTCGCTGAAGCTTGGCATAGTAGACTGAACAAAAAATGCAAAAAATTCCATCCAAATATATTTGAGATAATTACTATCCTACATTCATTATAAGATAATTATTGAACAATATGAGCTAATGTTGACAACACCAAAAAGGCTCAAAAAATATTGTGATTTGGATAGGAGGATCGAGAACACTATCACCAAATATGTTGAGGAAACTATTGATTTGGGAGAAACGCTGCGACGATTGACATACATTGTGAAATATTAATAAACTAACCACGACAAGTCAGCATGCTACATAAAACTTTGTATATATGTACATATTTTTTCAGACAAGCTCATATTTGAAGCGAAAACAATTTTAAACACGCCAATATATAAAATGTATGCATTACATAGAAGGCTAAGACATTTCATTTTATAAATTGCGAGTCCTAAGCCTGGATAAAGTGTGAAGGAAAATTTATATTCTTTTTACCTACCTACCTACCTACCTACCTACCTACCTACCTACCTACCTACCTACCTACCTACTTGACATCACCGGACGAAAGGAAAATTTTTCGTGCAACGGACGAAACGGGAACGGGCGAAACAAACCAACGCCAAGGTTGATATTTTAAAATATTTTTTTCAATATTATAGTGTATTATACACGGGAAAAATATTATATTTTAGCTCTCGATTTTTTGTCTCCCTCCGCTTCGCGTCGGGAGGCAACACAACCTCGAGCTGAAATCTAATACTTTTTTCTCTTGTTTAATAAATAACTATGCTTACCCGAGGACGTAACATTATTACTTTCGCAGTCAAATGTTTACAATAAACTAAAACGGTTTTTAATTAAACATGGAAACGCCCACTTTCTCTTCCAGGAAAACTTTACTACTTTATTACTTACTTGTATTTGGATTAACGGCCATCTAATAAGGATTTTTTTTATTGAAGTAATAATTTTATTAGTAAGTAAAAAATAAATATTTCGGAACGGCCTTTACTTAGTCTCTAACCCTATTAGATAGACTACAATTATACGTACCCTCATTTCTGGAAACTGTCCTTGGTATGTGTTTAATGGAAGTAAAACTTGGTCCGCTAATTTATGACTGAAATCCTGCCAAAGCATGTCGACTGATTGAGTTTGAATGTACATAAGGTCGTGACCAGTCCACTGACTCTCGTATATTTCTCCTATCGCTTCTAAAAGTGTTTTTGATGCCGCCTGGCATGCTGAAATTAAAAAATCGATCGTAAATATATAAGAACAATCGACTAAAAATGATATTCAACAACAAAATATTAAATTTGGCATGAAACTTCTTAGGACGAATTGTTAAAAATTTGACAAAAAATAACATTGCTTTGGTACTAGTAGTCCAATTATCTTTCATCACAGCCTCGTGAGCAACAGAGCAGCTCATGGAAAAAATGAGGAAGGTAATTTAGTACCACTCCAATTAATAGGATAGCGCTTGTTTTTGGGTCAGTGTTAAAATATATTGATTTGTTGTTTTAATTTCTTTTTGTTTTCAGTTTTTATTAATCATTCTTATTGTAAAAAAATGTTGACCTCAAAATACCCTGTCCACCGCTGAAATATGTGGACCTCAGCCATCAACATCAAAAATTGATTCAATGTCGACATCAAAAAAGAAGAATGTACTACAAAATCTTCAAGGGTCCAAATAAACATGTGTAAGTTTAATATTTTGGAAAAATGTTCACCTTGTGTACAAAATGATGTTAAATTGTATCATCGCTTAAAATCTTTAAACGTATTTGCCTCCATGATTACTTTAAAGGGATTAGTAATACTGCTCATTCGAGCCAGTTGTTGCCAATCCCAAGATGTTTTTTACCTGGCCCTTTCAATCATTGAGTGACTACCATCCACATTATGCAGTGTAGAGGTAAATATAACTATCTCTGTTTACAAAAAGTGTCCCTCAAAATGTATAAAATTGCTGTACCAGAGGGACGTCGAAAGTTGTGTAGATAGCTCACCCATATGTAAATGCAGGGGCGGTTTTTCCATTGGTTCATTTGTGCAGTGAACACCCAGTTACATTTCATAAAAACACATTATTTTAAGCCACTGCGCTCTGGCTAATTGCGTTTCCGTGGCGCTCTTTTATAAATGACCGCGAAGGAGTGAGAAGTGTTCTTAAAAGTCATTAGCTAAAAAGAGATGTCGCACGTTAACAGATCCCTGAAACGTAGTGAAACAATCATAAAATCACTTAAATCAGCTTAATTTGCGCAACGCACAGTGACGTCTCAAAGTAGGGCGCGGCATACGAACTTTTTATTCATTGATATAAAATAAAGAGGAGATGCTATGACGATACTAAAAGTGTCGTCATAGTTTTACGTCATATGTCAAACTCGAGCAAGCGGAGTTAGTCAGTTTTAGTGAGAATAAATACCATTTTTTTTTTTAATACCATGACTTAAATTATATATTTTCAAGTTTTGTCAGTTCGTGTTTTCGGAAGTAAAAGAAAGTATTTTGGTGATCTGCCGAGGTTAAAGGTAAGTGATTTTTATGTAGATTACAAAAGTGGGATCATTTTGTCTCTATAAATTTTATTGTATAAATGAGGTTACAAAATGGCTGCCGACTACACGTGCCCAACAGTGAGACAGTGTCTCACTGTTGGGCAAAATTATCAAATATTTTTTTTGCAGGCTAAGTATGGATCCAAAGAAAAGAAAAATTGAAAATTGCGCAGAGGAAACAATGAAAGAAGCAGTAAATCTGGTCAGAGAAGATCTTTGAGAAAAGTAGCTGCTTTGAAAGATATACCATTTCAGACATTGGCTAGATATGTCAAGAAAGCTAGAGACGTTGACGACATTAGTCAAATACGGATGAGTCCCAACTACAGTATTAATAAAGTATTTACGTCCGCAGAAGAAGATTCCCTAGAAAACTATATCATAAGCTGCTCACGCATGTTTTATGGGTTGTCTGTTGACGATTGTAAAAAACTTGCCTATGAAATGGCAATCGAAAATAAAATTCCTGCCAAATGGCATGAAAGAAAAATGGCAGGGCTTAAATGGATGAGAGGTTATCGCCAAAGACATGTTCGACTGTCGCTTCGCACCCCCGAAGGATGTAGTTTATCCCGTGCGACGTCATTTAATAGACATAATGTTTCAATTCTTTTACCAAAATTTGAAGTATATTCAAGAACTGATACGTTTGCTGACGGAAGAAGAATCTACAATTTGGATGAGACTGCGACGGTTCAAAAATCAGCAAAGGTTGTTGCTGAGAAATGGGTGAAGCAAGTTAGCAAGTGGAGAGAGAGGTACATTGGTTACCACTTGTTGCATCATTAGTGCCACGGGCCAATACCTACCACCAGCAATGGTTTTTCCTAGGGTGCATCTAAAGGAGCATATGCTACGAGGCTCCCCATCAGGAATGTTGGGGCTTGCTGCTCCAAGTGGGTGGATGAATGCCGATCTTTTTTTTGAAGTAATGAAGCATTTTATAAAATATTCTAACAGCTCTAAAGAAAATCCATCGCTTTTAATCTAAGACAATCATGAAAGTCATCTTAGTATTCGTGTTCTTAATTTGGCCAAAGACAACGGAGTAACAATTCTAACATTTCCTCCTCATTCCACAAATAAGATGCAACCACTAGATGTGGGGGTATTCAAAGCGTTCTCAACATGTTATAATGCATCTGTAGATTCCTGGATGATGCAATATCCAGGTAAGCCTTTCACCATATATGAGGTAGCTGAGTGCGTTGGCTTTGCTCATGAAAAAGCTCTCACACCGAGAAATATTATAAATGCATTCAAAAAGTGTGGTATATATATCCATACGATGCCAATGTCCTCACAGATATAGACTTTCTACCAAGCGCTGTTACCGATCGCGATTTAAAAGATGATGTAAGCCAAAAAAAGTCCATCGATCTACCACGTACATCGACATCAACAAAGAAACTATCCGTGAGTGATAACATTCAAGAAAATATATCGGATATAGAAAATGATGCTACCTTGACACCAGTATTGAAAATAGCAATCAACAGAACGATACAAATGGCAAGACTGTCACAGATGTTTTTAAAAGCCCAGACGAATTTAAGGGCTTTCCAAAAGCAGGAGAACGCAAAACTAAAAATGAACGAAGAAAGGGCAAAAGTATTATAGCTACTGACACACCCGAAAAAGATGCCATAGAAGAACGAAGCATTACGAAGAAAAGAAAAATTGATGAAACCGAAGTGAAAAAAGTAGAAAAGGTCAAGAAAAAAATATTTGAAGATAGTTCTGAAAGCTCAGAGGAGGAACTTGAACTTGGTTCATCCTCAGGGGATGACTGCTACTATACAATCAATCCAGATGGATTTAAGGAGCTTCATAGAAAGCCTATAGAAAATGATTTTGTGCTCGTGGAATTTCATGGAAAATTGGAGAAGAAGAAGGTGTATTATGTTGGAAAAGTCCTGAAAATAAATGAGTCAGAAGAGTATGAAATTTCGTATCTTAGAAAACAAACGAAGGGCACCAGCAAATTTGTATTTCCCAATATTCCAGATGAAGCTATTGTTGCTTTAAAAGATATCAAGCCCATCATGCCACCCCCAATTCCTTGTGGGCACACTAGCCGACAGATGGCTTCTTTTACGTTTGAGATAGATTTTGGATTAATGGACATTAGGTAGATACATACCTAGATATTATATTTTTATGTTTACTCATTTTTTTTATGTTTTGTATTTTTTTTGTTTATTTTGGAATTGTCTTTTGTGTTCAATAAATATGATTTATAGACTATGTTCGCAACAATCAGTATGTCAAAATTATCTTATGAGAATGATATATTAATCTCAATAATAATATCCTCAATAAACTTTTTCAAAACACAACAGCCTAAATAAGATTTTTTGACATGCTAGATTATATATTTTCATTTATTTTCCCTGTCTCACTGTTGGATTTAAAGTGTCTCACTGTAAGACATATGTGTCCTACAGTTAGACAAATGCACCTATCTATATTCTTGCTAAAAAATATCAAACTTCAAAGTTACAAATATTTCACTTGAAGAAAGATTAATATAAATATCAACGCCTATGCTGGCGTTTAATTTATTCATTTTGGATGGATAAAAACAAAATTACACTAAAATTAAAAAAAACTGTCTCACTGTTGGGCTGGCTCCCTTATGTGTGTCAATTCAATGATTGTTAACGAAACACGTCTCCAAGCTCCAGGTAAAACATTTACTATTATTTTTGAGGTTATGGTTATATTTTGTTTTGTTCCAGTTTCTACAAAATACTCATGTGTTTTATACAACTCTAAAACAGAAAACTGCGTAAATAGATACAATGTCATCGATACTATTTTATAGGAAAGCCATCAAAATTAAGCGATGACTGAGTTTCATCAAGAAATAGGCTCTTATGGCAATAATATAAACAACCTAACTTTAAACAGATCTTAGATTGCAGTTGCCAGCCAAGAAAAATCATTGTATATTTCACAAGTATGACAATTTTATTAATTTTTTTCGAACAAGAATAATTTCTTGATCCTAGTACAATTTTGTATGAGAGACCTGCTGAACACTAATTTTCGGTCGCGTGATTTACAATATTTTTTTTAAGACCGGCATTTCGATATAAACTCAATTATTTATTTTATTTAATAATGTGATTAACAAATACTAAAGCTAAATAATGGATACAACTGCATAAACTAACCAAATACATTATATTTGAATATTTATGTTAAATGTACATTTTTGCTGTTTCCAAAATTTCTTCTGGAATTTCATTTTCTATGTCAGATAATTCAAAATCTGAATCCATATTTTTGAATTTGCGATAACAAGTTTGACATAAACAACAAATTAAAAATTAACGAACTGTCACTTGGCAATAAATCGGAGAGTTGTTACCATAGTAACGAAATCAAGGCAGACTGTATTATCAAACAGCGATCGGAACGTCTACTTTCTAGTCTTGATCGGTAAAACGTTATTTTCTGGACGAAAAATTGTTCAGAAAGTGTATACTCTAATTTATATAAAGAATCATTACATTTTTGGCAAGTCTTTTCTGGCATCAAGTTTGGCACGTATGTACGTAGAATTTTCACAACACCCGATTCCTTTCTCTTTTTTGACATTGTTATTAATGTTCTCATATTTTGGAAAAATATAATAATAATAGCAATTACAAAAGACAACTGAA